GCTCTTTTGGCCCCGGTGTCCCGAGAGTTGCGTCTGAAGCATCTGAGCAGTGCTCCGTCTGCCGCAGGGGCCCATAGCCCGTCCGGGCCCGGTGCCGCAGCTGGGGCAAAGCCATGTTTAAATGCCTTGTCATAAATACATCACGACTAAATATCACTTATTTTATACGTGACGACTAAAAGTCATGTATAAAATACATCTCCTGAGCTGGGAGAAGGTGGTAGTTCATGCCAGCTGGATAAAAGCTGGAGCGTGAGGGTGAAAGATCACCTCCAACAACGTTCTCAGTGGGAGAAACGGAGATTTCCCACACGCTTTCCATCGACCTGTAACCCCTGAACATCGAATATTGATCATGACAATACGTATGTAGGAGCCATAGTCTTCATTTTGCATATTTAGGTGTGATGCTCTATCACAAGTTTCAGAACTTCTGTAAATGACTCTTTAGAGTCTTTCAGAGGCAGGTAGTGACTGGTCAGCTTAGTGACAAAATACATTTTTATACATATATGTTTGTGTGTGTCTGCATTTAAATGTGTTTTATATAGTTATGACCACATATAGTTTATATTTATATATATATATATATGTAAAATATTGGATGCCCTCCTATTTTTCAAACCCCTTTTCCTTTTTATTTTCTTCTTCATTACAAATGGGAAAAAAAAAAAAACACCAAAAAAAAAACACCAAAAAATGTAGATTCAGACTGGATTTCTGATATCTCAAGTGGCCATGTGTGTGGAAGGCTCTGAGAAAAGATCCACCAGACCTTTGTCCCTGCATACCTCTGACTTGGTCAGGGTGGGAAGGTGGGGTATGTTCTCTTCCTTTTGATGCTACAGAGATACCTTCACTCAAATGTGTCAAGAGTACTTACACAACAGCCTTCAGCTGAGGAGCAAGGACTGTGTCCCTAAAATTATATATTTCAGTTCCAAGCAAAGATGGGAAAAGGTTTTAAAAGCTTCAGTTAAGACAACTGAAGTGTTACAAGTCCTCTCTTCTAAAAGGGTTCAGGTCTGTCTGTGTGTTCATTCAGAAACCCAGAAAAATTGATGGGGTTCATGCTGTTTCACCACAGATTAACCTCGATATTTTGTCCAAAAACATCACTGCTGGCCAGTCATTACTCAAGAAACCTACCACCATCATTTGTAGAATTTTGTGGAGAAGCATTTACTGCTCATCAGGCACTGACTCCAGCTTCTTGCAAAGGTAGGTGGCACCACAGGGTTCTCTCCTTAGGGCTGATAGGCTGTTGCAGAAATGTGAACTAATATTATTTAGAATGAATATACTGATTGTTTTCAACTGTCTGGAGGAGAGAATTTATATGGTTCTGAAAATGAAAATTACTTTCCTTCCTTCTCCACCAGGACTCCTTTGCATTGGTAAGAGGAATAAAAATCCTCCCAATCCTCCAAATTTACATACCCAGGTGCTAGTACAACATTATCCCAGTGCTGGACCTATCTTAGGTGGAAGCAGAAGAATGACCCCAGCCACCCATGGCATCTCTGTGGTGCTGAAAGAGGCTGGATGACAGCCAGAGTGCTCATTGCCAGGGAGAGTGAGACCCCTCTCAGCTGTACCTAGTTAATTGGCCAGCTTAGTTGTAGCAAACATGCATCCTTGGAAACACTGACAGCCACAGGAAGAATCCCTCTCTGATCTGCTGTCCTGGTTTCCACCACAATCAAGTTAATTTTCTTCCTAGTAACTGGTGCAGGACTGTGTTTTGGTTTCTGGAAGTAATACTGCTGATAACACACTGATGTTTTGGTTGTTGCTGGGCAATGTTTACACCAAGTCAAGGGCTTTTCAGCTTCTCACTCCACCCTGCCAGCAAGGAGGCTGCAGGGCACAAGGAGCTGGGAGGAGGCACAGCCAGGGCAGCTGACCCCAGCTGATATTCCATACCATAAGATGTTGTGCTCAGTGTATAAACTGGGGGGAAACTGGCCAGAGGCCACTGCTCAAAACTGTCTGAGCATCAGTCAGTGAGTGGTGAGCAGTTGCACTGTGTATCACTTAGTCTGTATATTTTAATTATTGCTGTTCTTTGCTCTTCCTTTTTTCTCCTATTAAACTGTTTCTGTTCAACCCCAATACTTTGGGTTTTTTTCCCGCAGTTCTCTCCCCATCCCACGCAGGGGGTGGGTGGGAGAGTGAGTGAGTGGCTGTGTGCTGTTTAGCTGCCTGCCAGGTTAAACCAACAACACCAACACACAGCCTCTGCTTCACAGGAGTGTGGCCCTATTTGCTTCTTTTTTTAAACATGTGCACAATCACTAAGAGTGATGTGGGGCTCAAAATCAGAAGTTACTCAATTTTTAAGCTACAATACATAAGCATTTATAAAATATCAATATCTCTAAATTCTTCAGTTTTAATAAAAATAGAATGCCACTGCATTTCACATATATCTAGCCTTCACATGCTTTGGATTTTTGAATTGGCTGCATTTTAATGCTTTTGATTAAAATGAAACAATACTCTTTGTCAGCTGTCATGTGAACAGTGGCATGTTTGTCATTCAGGTGATGCCGTGATTTGAGCCGGTACACAGTGATACAGTTAATTTCCTAAACGGAAGTTGTTGCCATAGCTCCACTGTGGGACAGCGCAGATCAAACAGAAGACTTTTTCATGGATGCTCGTTCAATCCTCACATTCATCTCTGGCCATAACAAGAATGCATCTGTTTCCCACAGCACAGTATAACAAGCATATTTAAATGCTGCAAGGAGAAAAAAATGAAAGGTGGGGGGAGCAAGGGATGGGCTGTGCTTTGGGAAGAAAAAAACCCCAGCAAGATCTGGGACTTCCACTGCTAAAGGCTTTATCACAGCAGATTGCTTTGAGCACATCTTTAACCTGCCTTTGGACAACCATACAAGAACAACTTGGCATGACCTTTGCTCAATTGTCTTTTAAGAACAAGAAGTGGAAATTTTGGTGGTCCAGAGCCAACAAGATTCCCTCGAGGCAAGTGTGATAGCTGCAGAGAAAAGTGCAAGACAAGCATAGTAATGAAGATGGTAGGCAGCAAAAAACACAGTACAGAAGAAGAAGCTCAGGAAACTCCAAGATTTCAACAAAAGGTGACAAAGATGTATTTTTTATTTTATTTTCTCAGAGCTGCAATTTAAATATGTAAGTTATTAATAGTAAATACCTTAAACTCATTGCAAGTGTTCCATGGTAATATAAACAGTAGTTTACATTAGCATAGGAAAGTACAAATAGAGTATAGTATCAATACTAAGTTAAATGGACAAAATAATTACTGTATTGAGGATTATTTTTTTTCTTCCTTTTAATGACTAGAGTGTACTTGATCTGCTGCGAAAACAGTAGGACAAAAAATTAAGACTCTCAGATTCAGACATTACACATTAAATTTGTGGTAGGTAAGCTTTCGATGATGGGAAAAAAAGTTAAAACTAAGAGTGGTGGTATAAAAACAATGCCAGTAAATCATGAATGACAGCAAAATAGCAAATTCAGCTGTACTATGTCTACCTCAAAATGTTTAAACATCATTACATTGCTGTTAAGTACAGACTGTCTTTGTGGAGAATTGTGTGTGTGCATGCTACTCAAGATGTGAGTGTATATGTTCTATGTGTATGTTTCCTACAAACACTGAGTATTTCATTATCTTGCTTTTAATCTTTACATTGGTCTGAATTAATGCACATTATCACTAAATTATAATAAAGTTTTTCTTTCTAATTTAATCCAGCTCTGACCACTTCTGCAGCTGCTTACTAAACTCTGCTATGCATGTGACATTTCAACAAGAAATATTTAACTGTTTGGGGTGCTAAGCTCCTAAAAAAGTTATTAAAACTAGTTTTATAAATTAAAACTAAAAGAAATCTCAAATTATTACTTTACAATACATCTTTGCTTTCAAAAGAATGAAAGAATAGATGCTTCTCTTTGTGTTTATCAATAATGGTAATGCACACATTTATGTTAAAAGGATAAATTCCTTGCCTAACAGGCCTGTAAATGCCTTTTGTTCACTGCACAGCTCTTTTTAATTTCCTACCTGAGTTACTTGTTAACAACAGGATGAAGAGAATAAAGTTATTATTAGGATGTTAAGCCTCTGAAATAAAAATGTGAAATAGAAAAAAGAACACACACATTACAACAGAAAATGTCCATGGAATGAACATTCAGAGACACTTTTTTTTCTTTCTTAAACAAACACAATTCAATTCTGATTGCAGTTAAATTACAGCAAATCCTAGTAACTGGACCAGAATTGGTGAAATTATGCTAACTGGAACAGAGAACAGAATCTCATCACCTGCTTGCCTAATACAATATTCCTATTTAAGCCTATAAGAAAAGTACAAAATATTATAATGTACATTAAATAGGGAAGACAAGTAAGAGCAAACTCACAGAAAATGAGCCCTCACATAATTATAATGTCTAAGAATTAAGTCTGATGCTAATGGTATTCAAGAGCATAGTTATTGCCACAGCATGGAAGTCTCTGTTTTAACTACTTTCAGCACTCTCTCTTTACAATTGCACAGAAATGAACAATTAATGTATAAGCAGAACATTATTGCAGAGAGGCTGTTACATTTCAAGACCTGGCTGAAGATCAAATGTGCTTCCATGGGTGAACGCTCTCAGCATTCACTATTTCAGATCCCTTTGGCAGAAAGGAGGAGAGCATCATGAGATACTGCAAAGTCTTGTTGTAATCCTGACAGCTCTGGTGCTGGACTGGTGCTGGGGAAGGCTGTGCTCACACTGTGGGGAAGCAGCAAGGGCCAAGTGTTCCCTGCAGTAGGGGAGCCTGGCAGGAACCTGGGGTCTTTTTCCCCAGCCTGAGGACTGTGAGCAGGGCAGCCTGGAGATGGGAGTCAGGATCAGCTGGGACAAGTCCGTGGCAATGAAACTGGGCTCAAATCAAAACAGAAACACAATTCAGGGTCAGGTCCAGTGATGGTAACCTGGGTCAGATGCAACCCAGGCACTAGGCAAGTTGTAGAATGATCTTGGTTTGAAGGAACATTAAAAGTGATCTAGTTCCAACCCTTGTGTCACAGACCAGATTGCCCAAAGCCCAATTCAGTCTGGCCTTGAACAATTCCACTCGGGACTCACCAAACGAGTCCATTAAACAAGGCAGGTTCCAGGTCAGGCTAGGGAGCCAGGGGTGCAGCTGTGGCTGAGCTGGATGGAGACCAGCACTGCTACAGCTCAGCTCCAGCAAGGACCAACAGACTGATCAAAACTCAGAGCCCACGAGCAGAGGGCAGGGGACCCAAGTGAGGCTTGGTTAGGACTGTCAGTGCCCTCACAGCCTTGACAGCAACTCCCATTCCCCACAGACAAGGTGTGCCCTCACACCTGAGAGCTCAGAATAGGGAGAGGGATTTAGTTGGTGCAGGTTGTCAGTGGATAACTTTATGGACACTCAACCAGGGCAGGGACAATGGCGTGGAAAGGGGCTACAGCAGATGGAACTAGAGGGTGGCCAGCCCCAAGGGGCCTCCAGATGGGTTCTGAGAGGAGGTTCACTGAGGAACTGGGGCTGGACAGGGGGGCAGTACAATGAGGACACCAAAGCCAGTCAGGCTGATGGCACAGGAGGAATTGCAGAAGATCCCATACAGACAGGCCCCACAGTGCTCAACTCAGGACTTAGGAAAGCCTGATCTAGCTGTCAGGGTGTAGCAAGGGGCAGCTGCTCCATGAGGACAAGGAGAAAATGGCATGAGAGGGCTGGTGGGGGTCGGGGACTTGACATCCAGGACTATGTCCTACAGACCCAGGCAGGGTGAGCTGTCAGGCCCAGCCAAGACCATCATACAAGATTTTGGACCTGCCTCATCACCACAGGCAAGGTAGAAACACAAGTTAGGTCAGTCCTAGTGGTAGTGTCTCCTTGTGTGTTGCTGTTCCAGTGGCATCTGATCTTGCTTTCCAACACTAGCAAATCACAGATTTTTAATTCCTTTCAAGTCCAGCTTTTGATTCTTCCTGTGGACACTGGCAGGAAAGTTAATGTCAACCTGAGAGGAAAGGTCTTTCCAGTTAGGTTTGGTACTTAGTCTACCTTAGTTCAGGCCAAATGGAAGAAGTTGTTATAGGAAGAGGCATTCAGATAATAATTAGTAAAAGCTATACTAGGTCCCAGATAGCCATTTTATAGTGCATAAAGTAGGTGTTTTGCTTTAAACAAAGTGTGTGTCTTTACCCAGATTATTAAACTCTCCAGTTATTAAGTTTTTGGTACCCAAAATATTAATGTGAACCCCTGACAATCACTCAAATGCCATTTACAGTATGATTTGTTATGTTTCACATGGCAGGTTTGCATTTGGAACGGTATGGGGAAAAAGCTTTGAAGGCCCTTGCATGAAGCATTGACAAATGGAAAGATAAAGGTTGACAGGAACAGTGGAGAGAAAAAAAAATATTGGAGACTTGTAATCTTGCAAAAGATAGTATGACAGAATACTGATGATCAGTCCAAGAAGTTTGAAATTGAGCTGGTGGTAAAGGAAGGCACCAGAGAAATTGAAAATGGATAGAAGTGAGTGCAATACAAATATGTTCAAGAAAGGTAGTCCTAGCTTTGTGTGGATTTAAGGAGATTGGAGTGCTTATCTGGAAAGCCAGAAGAAGACAAAAAGGGATAGAAGGGATAACAACCCAGTTTAAATGTAAATAGTAAAGAGATTTTTCTTAAATTATATTTTATCTGTAACAGTGAGAAGGAGGGCAGAGAATATAAATAATTCAGAAAAAGTTTATACTGAGATATATAAAGTAGAGAGATCTGTAGCATTCAGCATTGTATTTCTTGTATTTCTAGCAGTAAAGTTGCAACTATAGTCCTGTGCTTGCACCACTCTGTAAGAAATCTACAGAGAGCCCAAAATAGAGCAGGGAGAATAATGGAAAGATTATAACATATGACCTATGAGAAATTATTGCAGCTGGGACAGTTTAGTCTAGAAAAGTCAAGAGACATGTAACAAAAGTACCAGCCTGGCTATTGAATATCAGTTTTCTATTCCAAATCCTCAAACTATTGTTTCAAAATCTTAACCACAGTAGTCATACAAAAACCAAGGCGAGTAAATCTGTTCTCTTTGTGCAGTAGCAAAAGCAAGCAGTGGCAGTAGCTTGCAGCAATGGAGGTTCAGATTAGACATTCAGAAAAACTTTCTGGTAAGAGTGAACAGTGTTAAGAGTGGATTAAATAGATAATTTGGGTTCTGGGAAGGGAAGGACCAACAGGGGTTAGCTAATCTAAGTGCTTTCTAACCTCTGACCATCCATCAGTAAAGTGTCACTATTGAGAATCCCTCAACCTCCCTTAACAACATTTACTCAATAAGTAAAAGCTTGATTATTAAAATTAGCAAGGACAATCTAATAATGGAACAGACTGACTTAACATTTCCTACACTGAATGACCATCTCTCTGACTTGGGAAGAGTGAAATGAAGACATATACCCTCTTGGTCAAAAGCCAGCCATGATTTCTCACCATTTTCTTCAGAAGTGCTTATAAAAGTAGTTCACGAAAGAGCAAGAACACAAAGAACCTCTCCCAAAGTGGGTAATGCCACTCATTCAAAACACTGCCACAAAGCATAGATGAATGGCATCACCAAAGGAACCTATTTTCAAGAATTTTTATATTTCAGATGCTTTACATGTAAAACATTTCAGGATTAACATGACATTTTTAGTTAAACTCTTATATAAAGACTGACTAATTTGATTCTATACAACTATTCAGAGAACAAAGATTTCATTAAACACCACATCTTCACTAAAGAATTGAGGAAAGAATCAGCTATAAAATCACACTGTACCAAATACTATGTTTTTACTTTTAATAATTTATGGTCTGTCATTGCATATAGAAAAAAATTGTGGATTTAGTCTGCATACATTTTATAAGACTATTTCATAAATAGTAAATATTTTTTATTTATTCTGACAAAAAGAGCATAGTTTTAAGTGTTGTGCATTCCACTGGAATGATGAACTGCTCTTAAAAATTAATTAAAGCTACAGTATAAGCCAACATTATATGGAAGCAGCCAAG